AATCTGAATCAAATGTCCTGAAGCTTACACATTACTGTGAATTAGTTCAGCCTGTAAGTCAGAAAAGAGGGTGGATGTGTCCAGAGACGGATAACACATGGGGACCTCTCCCTGTCGAGGAGTCGTGACAGCAAAATCACTTCCTGGGGAAGGAGGAGCAAAAAGGAAGTTAAGAGGCCACTCTGACCAGGAAGTGACTCGCCCTAAACTAGCCTCAATCATATCTAAAAATGGGGGAGGGGGGATGAGGTGAGCCCTAACAGCTAAAGGCGGTAAAATAACTGCTTCTTGATACGTCGCGACATCACCATCGCCTCCTCTCTTAATTACAGTGAAGAGTCCATAGTCAAGATTTAATAAGGCAAGTCTCCTCTTTCAGGAAAGCCACTGGGCTGTGCCTCAGGCCCCGAAGGAAAAGAGAGTTGAAGAATGGGGAACAGGGGCCACCGTGAGCCCGAGAAAAGCCCCTCAAAAGGAAAGCGTCCCAACTGCGGAGAGCGTCTGCCAGCACAGGCTAAGAAGCTTCTTTCTCCTGGGGGACACTTCCAGGGTTCCCACTGCAGCAGGGTCGGGCCCCTGTTCCCTTTGGCGGAAGGAGATGAGAGAGAGAGGCGGACCCCTTACCTTCTCCTCATCCGACACCCGATCCTCGAAGTCGGCCATCTTGGGCAGCTCTGGCCCAGCCCGGCCCCGGCGCGAGGCAGGCCGGGAAGGAAGCCGAGTGATGGAATCACCGCGGGGGCCGTCGGAAGGACCCGCCCGGAAACGCCGACCGAGAAGGCGCCATGTCAGTTACGGGCGGGAGTAGGGGGGGATGGCTCTGAGCGCCAGCGCCCCAGGGAGTGCGCTTTGTCTTAAACGACTTTTAAGTCCGTTAGCTTTCGCCCTGAGTTTCATTCATTCCCCCATTCAGCTATGGGACGCGGGAGTGTTTCGACTGTTCTTGGCGCCCGAGCTCCATCCGACTAAACAGCGATTGCTACTCCTATAGGTTTTCCCAGTACCAGTGATTTCCATGGCAGCCGAGTCCAAAAGGCTAAGAGCTGCAGTGCCCCTGCTCGGTCAGTAGCTTTTCCAACCACAGGAAGCGGGGTGGGGTTAAAGGTGACCCTCACTTGTATGGAAGCAAAACCACTTCACTCCGGGGGCACATCTCAGTCCAGTTCCTCCAGAATAGGTGCCGCTGTCTGCCCCTTCCAGCCCTTTCGAAGGAATAGGAAGCCCCAGTCCTGGGGCGCTCCACCTTACAAATATCGGTCTCCGTTCCCTGTGGGACTCAGCCTTCACAGAGGCCGACTTCGGGTCCGCCACAATCCCAGGATTCCCGACTCCCGGTTTCCTGCCCTTCTCCCCCTCCCAGTTCCCGGCGCCTGAGGGAGCGGCAAGATGGCGGACGGTGACGGCTTGAGTGAAGCAGCGACTGCTGCGGCTTCTCCAGCACCTGCCTCTGGCCTGAGCCCGCCACTGGGCTGGAGGGAACGGCTGCGGGCCGGGCTGGCGGGGACTGGGGCCTCGCTGTGGTTCGTGGCGGGGCTGGGGCTGCTTTACGCTCTGAGGGTCCCGCTGAGGCTGTGTGAGAATTTGGCAGCGGGTGAGAGGCCCAGACCTCCCCGGGGACGGGTGGGGAGCCAGGAGAGGTGCCGGGGCAAGGGCCAAAGAGCGGAGACTCAGTAGTCACTGGAGGGTCTGAGAGAATGAGTCGGTGGTGCGCGACCAAGTGGGGTCCCCCTTCCCCCTCGCCCCCCTTGGGCCGCAACTCCGCAGCTGACTGTCAAACCCGAGCTGCAGCTACGGGCTCCTCCCTAGAGCTCTTAAGATCCGCCCTCTCTGCCCGGTCCTCGTTTACCCAAGGAAAAGCCACCCGATAAGCTGTAAGCTTCAGGTGGTAGGACTGACGAGAGCATTTTCAGACTTGGATAAAGAATTTATATACACCCCCACCGTTGGTAGGATCCCTTGAAAAATCATTCCTTTGAGACCCCGCGGCTCAGCTCAATACCCACACCCGAGACGACAAAGACGAGCGCTTGCGTATTCCTAGATCTAAAAGAAAAAATGCCATGTTCTCAGCCAACCATACTCATGTTTTAAAATAGTTCTATCAAGACACACTTTTTCTCATATTTTTGTCTTTGTTTATTACCTTGAGTAATAAAAAAGTACAGGAAGTAGAGAGCAATAAACAGCAGTGGGTTCTTTCCTTGGTTCTTTGAACATTTGAAGAGAGTTTGCTCTGTAGTCTGGGCCGAAATGCAAAGACATGTGAGAGGTGATGATGCCCGTGGGTTCTGCAAACACTACCCTTTAGCTGTATCCAGGACAAAGTGGATGGAAGCCAGGGCCTTTTACCATGTCATTATAATATTTCAGGCTCTGAACAGCAACCTCAAAATAAGATGGAAGTATTTCTGTTATGTGATGACTGTGACAGTATTGTGGTTTATTTTTCTGCACCAAGAAAAGGCAAATGTCTCCTTTTCTATTCCATGAGATAACCTGAAAGACCGTGATGTAGTATTCCAAAATATTTTGTGCTTTTTAGAACATAGTAATATGTAAATTCAGATATAACTCACACACTAAACAAGCTAAATAAACTGGCCTTCTAGACTGAGTTAATTTGGTGTCTAACGGTATGAAGTGCTTACTAGTGGTTTTTATACTCAGTGAAATGAAATTCATTGAGTTTATCATTTTTCTCCGTGTTAAGTAGATTCACCTTTTAGATGAGAGTAGTTGACTATAATACATTTTAATTTCTTTCTAAAACCCCAAATATTTATGAAAATTATTTGAAGTGAACAATCTGGTCCAGGGTTTTGGCCAGTCAGGTGCACTGGAGAGGGGTGGTCTCTGTTGCTGTTCTCTTTGGGCTATTTTCCCTCTCTAGCTGACTACCAAATACATTGTTTCCTTCTCTCTAATTTGAACCTCTGGTTTGTGTCTCACCAAAATAATTAGGGAGCTTTGTTAACTCTTTGTAACAGAATGTTTGGCTTATCCTTATAGATTTACAAAAGTTCTTATCTAAATTAGGATTTATAAATTATTAGTTTTATTCTCAAGGCAAACTAAATTATCTCATTTTGACTTGCTTATTTAACAAATCAGCATTCTAAAATCTTACCCTTACATGTGCAAAGGCATTTTTAAGATATGATACAATGGGACTTTAAAGTAGTTTTTAAAAAATTACAACTTAAATGAATCTAGTAATAGATGTTAATGCACTTATGTTCTACTTTTATTAAACACACCTGTGTATTTGTAACTTGAGTATTTTGAATTTGCATTTTTAAACTTTGATTTTTTTTTTTTCTTCTTGGCAGTGACACTATTTTTAAATTCATTGACACCCAAATTCTATGTGGCACTTACAGGGACATCTTCTTTGATATCAGGACTAATATTTGTAAGTAGTTTCCATTACTTTCATGCTTTGGTATTTATCTAAAGATCAACTCTCTTTACATAGTTGCAATAATTATAGATACTTGTAGATGATGTGTTCAACATTTGAAAAAACACTGCCTCTCCCTCCACTTTTAGAAATTGACAGTATTCATTTGTGTATAAATTATTGTAGGAGATTGGGAGGTAGGTTGCGACTAAATGCCTGCAGGGCTCAACATGGTAACAAAAATAAGCGACTTGGGCAGAGTACAAGAACTGAATTCTTTATTTACTTTGAGGACTGAGTAAACTGGACAATGCATTGTGCTCCTTCTAGAAAGGGCTAAAGATTATTGTTGCCAGGTAGATTTACAGACTATTATTACCAGATCTTGCAATTTTCCAAACGATTTCAAGAGAACCTGGGTACACAAGTTTTTATATAAAATCTTGCAATAGTTTAATGTGGCAACATTGGGCAGACTAAAAATTTATCTGTGTCTTGATTAAAGCCTATACAGGCTGCCCGTTATCTTCTCTGGAGTGTTTAAGAGCGGGGATTTGGAGTCAGGCTAACCATCACTTTAGTGGTATGACTTAGAGCAAGTTAATTTTCTGTGCCCCAATTTCCTCCTGTATAAACTGGGGGTAATAATAGTATCTACCTCACAGGATTATGAGAACTAAGTAAGATAATGTGTGCAAAACTTGTAACAACCTGGTAGCTAACTCAGAGGAACACTTAATGAATTTTGGCTATTTTTCTGAGAGGTCCCACAATAAAGAAACCTGTTTAACTTTAATTCAGCTTTTTCTTGTCTTATTTGACCAAGCTAACATTTTTAATTCAAAAAAAATTTTTTTTAAATTTTATAATCTTTATTATCATCCCTAGCAACTAGTGTTTCCTAGTGTAAGCTTCAGAAAAATACTACAGATAAAAATCTTAGGAAGTATTATGGCATACACGGCCAATGAATTTTTCTGTATTTTTTTTTCTTATCTCTAGGTGGTGCTCTCCAGCTATAGTAGAAATAATGACATTTGTATTGGAGTGTTTAGGCTTTGTCTTTTTTTTTATAATGACTAATACTTGACCATTTTGTTTAAGTGAAATGCCAGACAAGAAAGGGATTTTTCTCCTGACTTAAAAATATTATTGAGGAATTCAGGATGAAACTGTGGGTTAATAGAAGCCTCAATATTTATCGATTCATAAAACCCACTCCAAATTAAGCATATTTTAGCATACTTAGTCAATAGAATATAAAAGTCTAAATAAAGAAAATAAACTATCTTTGAACAATGATGTAGTAGAAAATGCCTTGGTCTTAGTACTAGAAGATGTTGTTTTGAGTCTTGACTCTGCCACTTACTAGCAGATAACTTTGGGCAAGTCACATAAATTCTCTGAGTCTTAATCTCCTTATATATAAGGGGAGAAAACTTATATATTATACATCTTATCTTTTTAAACCGAATTTTTTAAATTAGGCAATAGAAAACATTTTAAAGGTTAAACTGTGTCATTACTCTTGTAATATTAATGAGTTTTCATCAGCAAAGGTTATGTTTATAATTTCTTTTACCACCTGGAATTGTTAAACTTGTACACACACACACTTAATTATACATATATACTAAAGTATGATTGGAAGGCAGTCTGTATATTGGCTAGAAACTCTGAAATCAGGCAGACCTGAGTAAGAACCCCAGTTCTACCAAGTCCTGGTGGTGTGAACCAGAGCTAGTTATTTAAACCTAGACTATGTGTCATCTCTAAAATCAGTCGTGAGGATTAAATGATATCATGCATGTAAAAAACTTAGCACAATGCTTAATAAATATTGGTAATTATTATCATTGCTCATTTAATTTGTATTAAAAAGTTGACTCTGAACTTGAAAAAGACTCATAACATATTAATAAACAACTACCTATTCTTCATATAGTGAAGGACAGTTTGTAATTGTTGCCTTTGTGATTACTGTCCCTGACTATGATCCAATATAAATCTTGTCTTTTCTGTCACGTGAATAATTTCTGCTTGTGTGATTTCTTCTGGTTGTTTTAAAGAAGTTTCATTCTACTTCTTAGTAAAACATGGTAGAACCAAACTAGGGCCATATTTGGTGGTGGTGAACTGCCTGCTAACTCAATAAAAGTGAGCAGAAAGAGAAGCTGTTCTAGATTGAGCATAAAACATTAGTGGCCTGATAGAATAAAGTCTGCACCTTGATTTCCTAGCAATGTCCTGAAAATGCTCTAGTCAATAGAGTAATTGGGCTGCAATGTAGTGCAAAATGACCACATATTTTTGGCACCATTGTAACATATTTGTTCTATTGTTTCCTGAAGCAAAGAATAACATTTCTAAAGGTTTGAAAACAGATTGTGTGTGTGTGTGTGTGTGTGTGTGTGTGTGTGTGTGTGAGCGCGAGAGAGAGAGAGATGGCCTTTAGGTAGTTGTGATTGTGTTTGTTTATTCTTTAAATAAAATAATATATTTGTCCATTAATTTGGCAGGAAGATAATCTGTCAGTTGATTTTTTTAAGGGAAATGCTCTATAAATAAGAAGAGGAAGATATTAAAGTTATTGTACAATCAAAACATAGAAAACTAGTTACTAGTTATTCAAACAGGTTTAAATTATAAAGTCCTTTCATCTCTGAGGCACTCTTCTAGGTGTTGGGGATGCTATGGTAAGCAGACATACACAGATTCTGTCCTCATGGAATTTGGTCTAGAAGGCGATAATGGACATTGATTAATTCATTTGACAGTTTTTATTGAATACCTACTAGGTGCCACACACTGTTTCTAAGCACTGGGCTTATAGCAGTAAAAACAAAAAAGTCCCTGTCCTCATGGAGCTTACATTATATTAGAGCAATATGTAATAAAAGATAAGTAAAACAAATAGTATGTTCTTACTATTAGTGATAAGTGCTAAAGGAAAAAAATGAAGCAGAAAAAGTCATATGAAATATCAGAGGAGAAGGTTGAAATTTTAGACAGGGAAGCAAGTGAAGGCCTCTTTGAAATAGTGATTCTTTAGTAAAGATCTCAAGGAAATGAGGAAACTAGCTGTGCTGTTTGTTACTTATTCCTGTAGGGGTAATATGCTTGGGAGCTTGAAGAATAGCAACAAAATCAGTTGTTTAATTAGTACAAGTGAAAAGATTATTCTGAAAGAAAAACCCAGGATCCAATGGGAGTACATATCATAGCTTTCTGTTCCATGGTTCAGAAAAAGTTCCCCGAGGATGTGTCATTTAAGCTGCAACCCAAAGGAGCCAGGCGGAGGGAGTCGAGAAGGTTGGAGTGTCTAAAGTATGAAACATTCTGCTAGTTCACAGAGCTGCTTTTGATTCCTCTTTTTGAAACAGTGATAAACTATAGAAGCAGAAAGAAATGAATATCTTGATTTTTTAAAAATATTTTTTTCAATTACAGTTGGCATATAATATTATATTAGTTTCAGGTGGACACTATGTTGATTAGACATGTATATAACTTACAAAATGATCACTCCAATAAATCTAGGACCCATCTAACACTATACTTAGTTGTCATAGTATTAGTGACTACATTCCTAATATCCTGATTTTTAAGTGGTTCAACCTGACTCTTAACCTATGTTAACAATACTTGCAAACACTGGAATAATACTTTATTGCTCAAAAGGCACTTATAATTCTTGTTAACCACATTTAATAGGACATTGAGGCTCTGAGAGGTTAGAGGTTAAGTGACTTGCCCAAAGCTAATATGTAGCTGAATTGGGAATCAAATGTGAGCATTCTAATCCTAGTCTAGTGCTTAATCCACCATGCTAGTTTTTTCAGACTTGTTTTTTTTCTTTATGCTATGGATGGAATAAAATGACAATGTAATATAACAGGGTTAGATTATTTATAAACATTTTATTTTTTAATGCTTTATTTACAGATGTATTTCTTCTAGTTTTGCCTAAGCTTGTCTAAATTTCATTACAAAACCATGAAAAAGCTATTTCACTTTTGCTTGGCATGTGTTATTGCAGAATCTTGTGTTTAGCTTATTTTTTGGAAGGAGAGCTCGTTTAAAATGCTGAATTAAACAGGGACATCTTGAAATAATATTTTAATTTGAGCTCATATATCTGCTCATCAGTTCTCTTTTAAGTGTAGGATGTTTTCTGTTTGTCACAGATATTTGAATGGTGGTACTTCCATAAACATGGCACATCTTTTATTGAACAAGTGTCTGTAAGCCATTTGCGACCATTGATGGGAGGAACAGAAAGCAGCATTTCAGAGCCAGGTTCTCCTTCCAGCAACAGAGAAAGTGAAACCAGCAGACAGAATTTGTCAGGTGACTACTTATCTAATGTGTTTTCAGAGCTGTTTAGTTAAGATTGTATTTGGCTGTGGGAGATAGAAAACTCACAACAGAGAAGTTTAGCTTTCATGTAAATATAGGTAATCCATGCCAAAAGGAAGAAGAAAGATCATCAGAAACCCAGACTACTATGTTGTTAGTCTGCTGTCTCCAAATACAGTTTTTCCTTGTGGTCCAAGACAGTTGCTCTGGCTTCAGCTATCATATCCTCATTCCAATCAGCAGCAAGGAGAATAGGCCAGAAGGACACCCTTTCCCCCTACCCCACCCCACAGCAGTCAAAGACACTTCCCAGAAGTGTTACATACTATTTCAGCTTGCTTCCTACTGGTCAGACCTTCATCACATGGCCACAACTAACTGTAAAGGAAGCTGGAAATTGTAATCATTTTTTCAGTCTACATATGCCTAGCTAATAATCAAGGGGTCCTGTTAGATAAAGAAGAGAACAGAGACAATTAGCCATCTCTGCCAAGAGAGCAAAGTTTGGAAAAATGCTTTTTATTCTCAATATGTTTACAAAAACATCAAAATCTCAGTTATTCATTATGGATAGTCCATTGTCATACTTTGACTTTTCTTCTATAGTAATACAAAGTATATTATTAATATGCAATTAGGAAAGCAAAATTTTCAAAGCCAAATAGAAATGACAGTTTTGAATTATTCATTTCATTTGGTATAGGTCATAATCATATAGTAATAATACAAATGAATTAATTCCATAGATTGCCATATGTCTCATTTGTTCAATAAACATAACCACTATAGTTATATAGAGTTTACAGCAGGGGTCCCCAACCTCCTGGCCACAGACCGGTACATGTCTGTGGCCTGTTAGGAACCAGGCCACACAGCAGGAGGTGAACGGCTGGCGAGCTAGTGAAACTTCATCTGTATATGCAGCTGCTCCCCAGCGCTAACATCACCACCTCAGTTCTACCTCAGATCATCAGGCATTAATTAGATTCTCATAGGAGCACTGGTCCCTGGTGCCAAAAATGTTGGGGACTGCTGGTTTACAGGGTTTAGCAGAAAAATACCTGAGTGTAGTTGCTGGCATTTTTTGGATATGGTCAGGGAAGGTCTCTGAGAAAGTACCATTTAAGCCGAGCCCTGAAGCATGAGTGCATTTTGACCAGGAATAGTAGGGATGGGATTGGTAGCCTTCAAGAGTACAGGAAGGAATAATGGTAATTTTCTTTCTCCTTTTCCTTTCTCTCCCCTTTCATAAAATAATTACAGAACTCCTAACAATGAGATATATTAAGATGAATATGACATAGATCTGTTCTGAAGAATTTCAGAGTCCAGTATATAAATAATTATAACAGTGATGTGTTATATAATCTTATTCTCTGTTGTAAGATTGAGCATACCATTGCATAATGAGAGTGAAGATAACCTTAAGAACATTCCAGCTTGGTACAGGATACAGACATATTAATAAGTGGTGGCAAAAAATATAAAAATACTTACGTTGAGTATATAGAAGATACTGTGGTAACAGAAAAGAGAGAGTAGTTAGTTATTCTTAGAATCCTTAGAAAGAGGGCCACAAAATGTTTCACAGAAGAAACACTTGAAGTGACCTGAAAGTGAGTCAGAGTTCTTAGGTTCTGCTTTCTCTCTCTGGGTAACTGTATCTTGTTGTATGTTATCTTCCACAGACATATATGCTGAGTGAACCAATGTAAAATTTTTTACTCCCAAGCTCTCTTTTAAGTTCTAGACGCACATTTCTAACTCTTTGCTGGAAATCTCCACCTGTGATGGACCTAAGCACCCTGAACTCTGTTCAAAATGAAATTTCTTAATTATCTTCTTTCAATAAGCCTCCCTGCTATTGAAATCTGGTAATGGTACCTAATTCCCATACCAGAAACTTTTATGATTTGTTTCAGATTGTATCTCTTTTACTTCCCCTTCCTTCTCCAAACAACTGACCCCCATCATATTCTATTGATTCTTCTTGAAAATTATTTTGACTCTATCCTACCTTTTTTTATTTCAACATTCATTGCGCTATATCTAGGCCCTCAACATCTCTTATATAGACTGTTGCTATAGTATTCTAACTGGTTACTTCTCCTTTTAGTACATTCTTTTCCTTACTTTGTAGAAAAGTGGTTCTCAAAACTTTTTCGATTCATGAATTCCTTACACTCTTAAAAATGAGGACCGTAAAGAGCTTTTGTTTATATGTTTATTATATCCTCAATACTTATTTTATTAGAAATTAAAGAGAACTTTTAAAAAATATTTCTTAATTATTTTAAAATAACAATAAACCCATTGCATGTTAACATAATTTTATGGACTGAACCGTGTCTGTTCTACAAATTCATATGTTAAAGTCCTAACCCCTCATGTAACTATATTTGGAGATAGCACTTTTAGGAGGTAAGTAAGGTTAAATGAGGTTCTTAGGGTGGGGTCCTAATCTGATATGACTGATAGCTTTATAAGAAAAAGAAAATAGAGATCAATTTCTCTCTCCACCACTTGAGGAGACATGTAAAGACACAGGGAGAAGGCAGCCATCTTCAAGATAAAGAGCTCTCACCAGAACCTGACCATGTTGGCACCCTAATTTCAGACTTTCCAGATCTCAGAGCTGTAAGAAAATAAATTTCTATTGTTTAAGCTACCCAGTCTGTGGTATTTTGTTATGGCAGCCTGAGCTATTTTGAAAAATAATTTTAGTCAGAATACTGTCATTGTTTTACATTTGTTTAAATCTCTTCAATGTCTAGCTTAATAGAAGACAGCTTAGTCTCATATCTGCTTCTACATTGTCTTTTGTGATATATTGTTTTGGTTTAAGTATATAAAGAAAATATGGTCGTACACATACTTGGTTGGAAAAGGGAGGAGTATTTTAATAACTTTTTCAGAAAATTGTGGATATTCTTTTTTGATACTATACCAAAACTTTCTAAGAAGTACTTTCTTAAAGTTTAGTTGCAATGTGTAATCTGAAGTATACCAATGAACTTTTCACTCTCTGTTACATTAAAATCCATTGGTATATCTTACATTTTGAATGGGTCTTTTACTTATGCATAATTTTATAACATTGTACATTTGTTATTTAGAACATTTGTTCACTGAGTTATGTATATCTTCTAGATGTTGACACATTTTATTACATGGTTTTAAAAAATCACATTTGTTAATACCACCAATCTCACAGAAGAATATTGGGAAATTGCCAGGCTCACAGTAGCAGATACAGGTTTTTCAAAATTCTAATATTTACCCAAAAGCTCCAATTTTATCATTGGCAGCAAATACTGTTTTTTCTTCCGTGAAGTTGGCAGACCCACTTTGTTCATCTTTGAGAAAATGTCTGCCAGGTATTCATGTAATAACTATAAGTTTTCCTCTTGGTGGCTCTTTCAAATAAAAATGATATTCCATGAATTAAAAAAAAAAAGGCCAGTTCAACTCAAAAAACAATTATTTATACTGGTGACAATCATCATACTTGGTATTGCCTTGTTGATTGGGGTAAGGAGCTAACGAATATGGTGATGCCTTGTACAATTTGGTGTCACTGCCTTGACTCATGCTAAAGTATTAGCAGTTTTACACACCATTGATTTTGCACCATCGGCTCAACTTTGCAGGACTGGAACCAGGGTGAAGCAAGTCAGGTGCCTGGGACACAAAATTTAAGGAAGCTCTCACTCTCAGGGTTGAGGTCAAGTCAACACAGTTAAAAAGGCAAATAATGTCTTAGCATTTATTATGAAAAGATTTGTTACTTTGCAGTTCTATGAATCATACTTTGAGAATTGCTAATCTAAACAAAGATCTGATATTTGTTATTTTTCTGGTGATAAACCTTTGGTAACTTCTGATTGATGAAGGAAAATATCTAAACTCTACGTGGTAGATAAGCTCCTTCATCAATTTCCTCCATCCTATTTTCTAGTCTCGTTTACAGCTTGCCCTCTCGCCACCTGCCCTATGCTCTAGTCTAACTGTGTTGTGTGGTTTTATGATACTTTGCTTCTTTATTGGCAACCTTCTGCTCAACTTTTATAGTGATTCAATATCAGTTCAAATGTCACCTTTCTAAAGCCTTCTCTAATTTCTCCAGAGCAAAATTAGTCACTTCCTGTTTTTCTCTTGGAATAAAACACAGTTTAGGTGGTAGTTTACATAATTCTCATGCTACATTTATTCATTTAAATAAGTTAGTTCCAAATACTGTGCCAGGCTCCAGGAAAATGTAGAAAATTGAACAAAGTTAAGAACTTATATTTAAAAGGGAGAAACTGAAAACCAAACAGATAATCACATTGTAATATATTAAGTGCTATAATTGAATTATGAACCAAATGCTTTGAAGACAGAAATAAGAGAATGACTAGATTTAACAGTATGCCTCATGACAGCAGGGGTGATCCATGTCTTATTTATCTTTGTGCTATCTGTGGTTAAGTACTGTACTTAGCATACAGTGACTATACAATAAATGTTGATGAAATTAAGATTTAACTGGATTTGATTAACTTGTCTCATTTCTTCCCCTTTTGCCTTTGTTTTTTTTTTTTTTAGAATGCAAGGTATGGAGAAACCCTCTAAACCTTTTCAGAGGAGCAGAATATAGGAGGTATTACATTTGCTTTCTGTATGATTATGGCATTGGTTTCAGAGTAAAAGTGTCATGGAAACATTTGTTTTTATAAATATTGCACAGCTCTTCTAGTTGGAGGTACTGATATATAATAAGATAAAATGATTAGTCCAAAGTTTAGTTGGCAGCATCTTGACTTTTATAATCATGAGAAACATTGCTTCAAACCATATGTTCATGATACATAATGAATGTACATTTGGCCCCTGGTTTATGGAAGCCTTTTCAAAGAATTCATGAGATTAAGAAAAAATTACAAATATCAGTGTATTTCTGTGCCTGTGTGCTCAATTTCAAAATTTACTTGAAGATTCACTAGAAAATATAAATCTGAATGTGAATATGACCTTCATTTGTACAACAGTACAGGGTATAGTATTTTTATATTGTGTTTTATATAGCTATTTCCTATCTACTTTACTGTATCCATTTCTCTTCTGGTTTTTATTCTAAATGACAAAACATCTTTTGAAACTTATAATCAAAGATATTTTACTTTTATTTTGAGAAGGGCTATGTTTTACTTGTAGGTAGACTGGGCATGTTTTTTAATCCATTAAATAAGAAACATGCGTTCACTATATATGGGCACTATGTAAAATGATGAGGGATGCAAAATGAGTAAGCAATAATCCGTGTGTTTAAGGACTTGATTGTGTAGGGCAGTCAATTACAGGAAGTGAAAGCTAGGCTTCTATGAGAGATGACATTAGCTTGTATTAAGGGATACATGGAACAAGTCCTTGAACTTCTCACTGTGTTAATTGAAAAGTTTTTAGGTTATTCCATATTATATTATGCAGTGTCCACTTCGTAAAGATCTTAAAAAGAAATTTCTATCTTAGTATTGGGAACACTTATGATTCTTTTTGAATGATTAGTTTTGTCTTAATGTAAAAGTCTAAATTGTACTGATAATGGTTGATAATCAAAGCTTAGAGTCATATTGTAGCCAACCCTTACCAAATGTATAGAACTCTGGTATGCATTTCATATGTTAGCTTCATCCAGATTCTATTTTATGGCCCAATTCTTGTTTTTACTTTACTGAATCTTTTAAATTTACTTTTAGTTTAGGTTTTTGATATCGTATATTCTATTTTTTAATTGTTTTAAATCATTTTGAGAATAATGTAGATTGTTAATAAATAAGTTTTTATGGTTTCTGAATGTGTAGCAAAACTGCCAAGTGAACAAGAATTTGCTTTTTCTTTTTTCTTCATCATAATTTCTCACGAACTAACTAAAAACTTTAAATAGCAAGGCAACTCATACTGTTAAATAATCTAAAGTCTTTAATTACATATATAAATAACATTTATAATATGTTTTTAAAGTTTTTTTTTTCAGATTATAAAATGTATGCATGTTCATGGTAGAAAATGAGAAAATAAAAAGATGTATGAAAAAGAAAGTAAAAATCACTTTTTCCTATCACTAATAACTGCTATTAGTATTTGCATTCAGTCTCTCTCTTATATGTGTATATAGAAACAAAACTTGAACATCAAAAATGTGTATGTAGTTTTACCTTCCTTTTTTCTAACACAATGTGTGAATTTCCCACAGAATTTCTTCAACCATGAATTTCTTTAAAAACATAATTTTCAATAGTTGTACTATATTCTGTTACATAGAGGTACCACTTTACTAACTGGTCCCCTGTCTGGGTTACACATTATATTTCACTGTTAGCATTTCCACTAGAGGGATATCTTTATATATAAATATTTAGCCACATCTATGATTATTTCCTTAGGGTTGATTTGTAGCACTGGGATTGCTGAATCAAAGAGTGTGAACAGTGTTTTTTCTTTTTTAAATCTTTTCTTCTTTTTGATTATGGAAAATTTCAAAAACAAGTAAAAATGTAGAGAGGATGGTATAATGGAATTACATATACTATCTCTTAGCTAAGTGTGACTATTTTAAGACTCTTGATAGATATTACCTCTCTCTCCTAATTGATCTACCTAATTGATCTACCTAATTGATTTTTGGAAACAGAAATGTAAATGCCAATTTACATTTATACCAGCAGTATAGTCCCCATCCCACCTCACCCTTGACAACATATATTTATTCACCAATTTGATAGGTGAAAAGTAAAAATTAGTTATTTTAATTTGCTATTTGTTAATTACTAATAAGATAGGACAATTTAAAAATGTATTTATTAAGGGTCAAATATGTGGTGACAGAAAGAAATCTAACAATTGGCTGTGAACACACAATGCGATACATATGGCTTACTGTTGAAAAAAATGTATTTATTAGCTGGCTTGTTAATTTGCTGTTATTATTGTGAGTCTCAGGGAGATATGAAAGTTAAAATTTTTAATTTAGTAAAATCTGAAAAAGTTTCTCTTTGCTTTTATGCTTTGAAAGCCCTTTGCTATCTTGACATCTAGTAAAAACCCGCTTGTGTTTTCTTCTAGTTTCTTTGTAGGTTTACTTTTCTTAACTTAATTCTAACCCACTGAGAATTTATTGAGGTATATTTAATAAGGTATATATCTAAGTCAAATTGTTTTATCCCTTCAAATCCATGAAGCACTGCTAGTAAAAACCCGCTTGTGTTTTCTTCTAGTTCTTTTGTAGGTTTACTTTTCTTAACTTAATTCTAACCCACTGAGAATTTATTGAGGTATATATTTAATAAGGTATATATCTAAGTCAAATTGTTTTATCCCTTCAAATCCAATTTTGAAGCACTGTTTGTTGAATATTCTAGTATTTTCCCTTTTAGTTTTTGATGTTTTATTATACTCTAAGTAGTGTGTATAGGTTATCTCTTATTTTACTGATTACAATAAGCTTTTAAAACATCCTGAATAGAATTTGTTGCAGAATATTTTAAAGTGTCCGTTGTAGCAGACAGATGCTTTCTCATATTCAATTTACGTATTTTCTTGTGTTTTGGTAAAGATACACTTGGGTGACTGGTAAAGAGCCACTTACATACTATGACATGAATTTGTCAGCTCAGGACCATCAGACCTTTTTCACCTGTGACACAGACTTTTTACGTCCTTCAGACACAGGTATGTGTCATATCTGTTCAAGGGGTAAACAGTGGTCATAGAAATTACTTTAATAGTTGTTTAGAATTATTTATTATAATATACAAAGTTATTGGGCCTGGAGTTGTTTGTATTATTGATAAGAAACCCAGATTAAATTGAAACTAATTATGATTGTAAACGAAGCTGTTATACTACTTTTCTTTCTTACAAAGAATTTAAGATATTTTATTAAAATACTAAATTACTTCTTTTATTACTTAAAAAAATCTTTCAGATCAAATACAACAACTGCTTTTGCAGAGAACAGTGTACCCAATTTTGGTCTGGGAATTGACACTTGCAATTAAGAGTAAGACAGAGTATAAACATTGGGGCATGGCATGTAGAGAAAAATGGGATATATTTTATTCCAGTTATAAGTTAGAGATGCATGTATAGTGGTGGAAGATCATAGAAATATCTGTTTAGTTCTCAGCTCTTCTCTATAGAAAGAGTATTTGAATTTTTAAACGTATGGCTTAATGACAGACATCTTTATCAAAACTAGTCTTCTACTTTGAATGCCCTGCCCCTCCTTATGTATCTTTCTACTTTTATTCTTCCTTCTTTTATCCTTGAAGATCCAAATTAAAAGTTACATTCTCTAGGAAGCCGCCTCTGGGATCCTCTGTCAAAGTTAAACACTTGCTTCTTTACAGTTCTATAGTACTTAGTCCAAACCTCAATGAAACAATTTTAGTTAATTTATTTGACCACAAACATTTATTGTATTGCTTTACTGTTTGTCCCCCCTAATAGGGTGTGAAACTTTGGAAAGCAGGTACTATATTTTCATCATTTTGACTCTCTATCATCTAGCACATTGGCTAACTGTATATATTAATATTTATTCTTTGGTGAAAGTATGAATGAATGAGTGGTCTTAGTGTCACAGATGGCGTAAGCAATTTCACTAATAATAGCTAACACTTGTAAAGCACTTATTATTCACCAATCACTGTTCTAAGCAATTTAAATGTTCTAATTTAATCTTCCCAATCACTTTATGAGGTAGGTACTATTTTCAGTATCATTTTAAAAATAAAGAAATGGTGGCAAAGAGGAATCAAGTAACATGCCTAAGTTATCTAATTGTTAAATGATAAAGCTGGGTTTCAAACTCAGTCTGGCTCTTAAGCACTACACCACCACTACCACATTGCCACTGTTACTTACTGCATTGATAGGCAGAAGAAAGTCACCAATAATAAAGGTCTAAAAATAGCCAGTTTTCCAGCATTGAAGCGAGTTCATTGTGATATCTCTCTGCTGGATTAAATATATTAAGGATGGTAGCAGGAAACCCACAGATGTTTGGTATGATTACATTAAATGGCTTCATTGCGAATAGGAGAAAAAGGAATTGCTTTATGTTTATATGCTTAATGTTTATATTAATGGCAAACGTGTAGGTGTTGGAGAAATAACAGCAGTAGAAAGTCAGTATTGTAAGTTAACTTTAAGGACTGAGATGACTCTGGAAATTAAAGCTTCACTTCTTTCTCACAGGCGGAATTGCAGATTTGACAGGCTTTTCAGATAATAGCCGTGGCTATCCACTAAAGCTGTGGTCTTAAAACATTTTTGTTCACATACCTCCTAAAAGAATTTTGAAAAACTGTGTATTCTTTCACACATTTTTAAGTTGATGTCACAAGGTTAAATAATTGCAGAGTGTGATTTTTGACATACAAATATAGACATTTAAAAATAAAACTAGAATACCCTATATTTAAATGTATCTCAAGGAATCTAATGACTTGATACCCACTGTTATACATGAACAAATACTCTTTAACAGTAGTAAATTTTATATAAGTCCTTTTTCTTCCTGAATTAATATTCATTCAATACCTCCATATGATTTCAATGTAATTATTTTAAGCTTGAGTGTCTTTTGCCACATGTATATGCTTTTCCACAATAAATGCTTTTTTGTATAAATTTTTAAAAATTTTGTTTCCCTTTGACTATAAGGTGCTAAATGGCATCATGTACTTTAATTATATTTTTGTCAAATCCTTGGAGCTATGTATTTTGAGCTTTCAACCTTGGAAAATGTCTTCCATATAACCTAATAGGCTGGGTGAGTTCTCACTGTCAATCCTTTCAACCAAATCAGACTTACTTTCTGACAAAGTCTGACTTCATTTTTCAATTCAAATAAACATGTTAACATGCACACTCATGACAACCATCTCTTCTGAATTCAGATTATAAGATAGAAAGATAGATAAGTCTTGGAGCTTTGCCTAGAGCTTATCACTTGGCCAAAATAAGATTTGACTGATTTTGTTATTAACTTACTAATGCCCCCTTTGTCTTACTGTGAGGGGACCTTCTCTCAGGAGCAATGTATTCTTTGGTAGTAAGGGGAGAGGGATGCTGATAAATGGAACTGATAAATATTGTTATCACTCCCTCCCACTCTACAATATACTTGAATTCAGAGCATCTAATGGCCAGAATACCCTAATTCTAATGCTGAGCTTCATTATTACAAGAAATAAGCGACAGGCAGGAATCCCTATTATAGATTCCTCGATTAAAAATGGCTGCCTCCAAACCTGAACTGGGAATTGTTCCTTTGGCACCTGGAGATTTTTATACCCTGGGACAGTGCACCTTGGAAAGGTTCATGATAATTGAGAAGTAAGCTTTCTTTTTGTAAAGTAGGAGAAGGAAATATGTTCTTTGGGGAGCAGGGAAACAGATGTTGGGTAGGAATGGAAAACCAGCTTGATGCATAGACCAGAGGAACATTCTTCAGGTAGATCACTTAAAAGAAAGAATTACATAAAGTTGAGGCTTTAGAAATTGATTTTCTTAAAACCATGCATTCCATTCTGGTCCTTGCAAAGTTTCATATATTTCTGGAGGCACATATAATCCCAGCTAAAGACTGAACTAAAAAACAAACTTTATCTGTGAATGATAATCCAGAAATGGTCTGTTGGTTCCGTATTGATCTTTTCAGACACTCACATTAAGATAACGATTTTTATCTGTAGTTTCATATTCAGAAAAGACAAATGTGTATAGATGTGTGATGTGACAAATTTCTCGGCCAGCTAGTAGTGTTTTTTTGATAATTTATCTTCATGATATTTTCTTGCAACATTTTTAAAAAATCAAGATATTTAATATTAAAAGCTAGATTTACACTATTTGAAAGTTGGAAAATATGGCAAAACTGGACCTGCATTTCCACATGGTAGTGATCAGTTAGACCTGAGCAGTGATTCTCTCCTTTAGATAGTGCATGTGTTTTTAGATCATTTGTTTTCTGCCTTGTCTTTGCAGGCACTTACATTTGTGACCTCTGATCTTGCGTTAAATGCTACTCTCTTTTCTGCTTGTTTAGCATATTAGAATATTATGTAACTTGAAAAATAAATAAATTTGATTGACTTGCTAACTGTTTGTGTTATTTTTTAAGCATATCAAGAGCTCTTAAAGTGGACAGTTGAATACTAAATCCACATTTCACTTTAAATTAGTCCTAAACCTTGTTTTAGAAGGAAATATATATTTTCTTTCTTCTACTAAATTTCTCCCTTCCCCTTTGCCTTAGAACTACATTGGTTATGAGGAATAATCTTGAAAGGCTGGATAGAGCAGTTGAAAACAAAATAAAAAATGCTTAAAGGTGGATTCAATGACCTTACTAGAAATAAAAGAAATGCAAATGCAAATGAGATAGTTGTCATGTACTAATGTGTTGGTAAGGAAGTAGAGAAAGAGTCACTTTCTTATATTGCCTGAAGTAATGTGAATTAATGCAATTTTATTGAGAGGAGTTTGGGAATATATATTCAAAATCTTTTAACCAACCATTCTGCTTCTTGGCCAGGTATACAAAGGTAGATATTGAAAGATGGATATCACAGTATTTCTATTTAGTAAAAAATTAGGTGTAACTTAATTGTCCATCAAAAGAGAATTGGTTAAATAAATTATGATATTTAATATACTAGAATACCAAACCATTAAAAATGTTGGTAAAGATTCAGTGTCAGAATTTGACTTGTGAATATCATGTAACTTATAGAAGAAAGCCCATCATCAAAAAATGGCAAGTCTAATATACTTAATTTTATGTTACATTTTAAAGTTTCAGCAAAATACTATTCTTTACCTGGTTATTATCAGGTGGGTTCTGATGAACATCAATTTGTCAAGTTTAGGAAGTATTAGCTATCAGCTAGCTGATGACATGTTTGATATTAGAAATATATTTTTGTTACACAGTAGAATATATTGTCTCATTTTCTAAGCCAAGACTAATATTTTGTTTCCAAAGGAAAACTCAAAATTTATCCACATTATTTTTTCTGGACAGTTGTAGGTTTGGTTCCAAAAGCAACATTCATAGATTCTCTATTTTTCTTATCAAACTTGAAATAGGCCAGATAGTTTCATGAATATACTTTGTTTAATTTTTAAGAAACTTTACTTAGTGTGAAGTTTTCATTTGGTACTCTAAATGAGAGCAAAACTAATATTGTTATTCCAGAGAGATTCTAATTCAGGCTTTTACTGAATCTTAATAGAGATTGATATTTTCCGTAAATATACTATACTCTAAATTAATCCTCTCCTTTTTATACAAAATACAAATTCAAATATTCTTCCTGGATCGAATCACTGATTAGACAAAGACTTTAAGTGTTTTATATATTTCTAGTAGTTCCAAAGAACCTTTTCAAAGTGATAAATTAGAATATTTCATATTGATTATAATCTGATATCAGTTTTAGTATGCATTTAATTAACTTGATTAAGTGCCTTATATGTTATTATTCAAATAAACCAGAGAAGCAGTATATTTTTATTATATGTGAAGGTTCCTAAATTTAATGTAAATTTCTTGTAAGGTTAATGTGAGCTAGCACCCCAATTTCTTGTTTCTTATGTTTGAGAACATGTTATTTAAGACTTTGTTTACTCTCCTAGCTTGTTCTTCATACGTTTTGCATAAAATTGTTTATGTTTACCATCTCATCAACTTTTTGAAATATTTTTCCTACAGTTATGCAGAAGGCATGGAGGGAAAGAAATCCTCCAGCTCGAATCAAAGCAGCCTACCAAGCTTTAGAATTAAACAATGAGTAAGTTTGAAATATATGGGAAATAAGTTTGTTTTGAAGGAAACCCAGGCAAATGATTTTGTTTCCCTTTGTCTGTTCATAAGATGCTTGGAGTCATTAGCAGCCCCCTTTCTCTTTTTTGCATACTAGAGACAACATTTTCATTGTTCACTGACATCTGTATTTTCCTTCTGAAATTGTAAACTTAGCTATGCTTTTGAATAGAAATTATGCTAGAAATATTTTTTGAAATGGAGAGTGATAATCTGATTGGTAGTAATATTTGACAGTTAAAGAGTACTAAAATACTTATGCCACATGTTTTACTTTTGTTTTTCATTTAAATCATTCATTTAAAGCATTTGTTCAACCCTGAGAACTTTAGTTGTAATAGGATTGGAGATATGAGAAGGATATTAAAAATAAGTAAAATGTAGCTTTAACTCAATTTTTTGTATGTTAACAATATTTATTTTTTTAATAGCTCTTTGTATTTTATATTTTGAAAAGACAAAATGTAAAATCATAAGTTAACTTAATATTTAAATGGGACAGCTCAATCAATATTTATCTAAAACTAAATAAATGCCAAGAATAAAAGTATGACCCCAGCTGGAATTAATCAAGGTATGCTCCCTTAATAATATGAACTTAGCATTGTCCCCTGTTCTTCCTCCCTCTGTCTCACCCCAGATATATTATCCTTATTACTAAGACCTTCCCAAGGTGGAACAAAAATGGCAGTATAGGAAATTCCAAAAGCAGTAAATCAACTTTATTGAAACTCTGGAAATCAATCAAAAGTTTATAGCAATCTGGAGAATGCTTAATCAATTAAAAAAACAGCTGGATTTCTGTAAGAGAATTTTGTGATGTTTTAACTTATATTGGCCTCACTCCCCACTCCTTAGCTCAGTGGCAGCTTTGAAGAAAACAGTCTGCATCCTAAGCATAGATTCCTACTACCAGAGGAGGTGGAATGAACCTTATTCTCAAAGAATTGTGGTTGTTTATTTTGACCTGTCTGGTGGCTTCCTGAAGGACCACCTTAAGCGGCTTGCCTTTATTTACATTAATTCAGAACTCTCCCAGCACTGACACAGCTACACCGTGGGGGTCATTTGTTAAAACATTTAAAGACAAATGCATTAGCCCCTGCTGGCTGGGGCAAGGGATAAGAGTTGGGGTAAACACCAGACGAACCTGAAAGCTTAGGAGGAAAAGCCTGGGGAATGAGATATTTGGGGAATAAAGGTTTTGAAAAGCTCCCACATATTCCTGGGAATCTCAAAAGCTTCACTCATGCCCAAGGTTGAGTACATGCTTAGAAAAGACTTAAGAAGGCCCTATGTACTCTCATGTCTGTCTAAGTTTGAGGTTCTACTCAAACAGATACTGAAGGCTAAGGGAGAATTGTAAACTGCCTCACTGAATGTTGAAGGTGTGCCCCAACACACACAGAACTCATCTGCAAAGACTTGTTTTTTATTTTTTATTTTTTGGTTTCCAGGTGTTTTCAGCAATCTTTTATTAAACCACTGGCAGACCACTAAGCTAGAGGAGCAGAGACTTCACTGGTCACACATGATAGAGAATAAAACTTTCCAAAATTAGGTCAGAAAAGTCATTAAAAAATAACTACAAATTAGCAACAACAAATTCTGGGGAGGAGAAGAAATCTGATTTCTAGAGTTTCTAGAAATTTCTAGTTTTTAAGAGAAAGTTACAAGATAAGTAAAGAAACAGAATATGTCTCATACACAGAAAAGAAAAGAAATGAATAGAAATTGTCCTTGAGAAAGCCCACACTTTGGACTTTCTAGACAAAGTCTTTAAATCAATTATTTTAAATATGCTCAGAGGTAAAAGAAGCCATGTGCAAATAACTAAAGGAAACCAGGAGATGTCTCACCATTAGAAAATATCAATGAAGATATAGAAAAATAATTAAAAGGAACTAAATAGATATTCTAGAGTTGAAAAGTATGGCTGAAATTAAAAAAAAAAAAAAT